CGCGGGGTCTGGCGTGGAGCAGCCAACGATAGGCCGCGCCGCCCAGGGCCACGGAGGCGGCGCGCAGGAGCCGGGCGCCCCCCGCGGCGGCCATGGCCGGCGGTCGGGTTAATTCCCGGAAGCGACGCTGAGGCCGCACGGCAGCGGCCGCGAGAGGCTCGGCGAGCGCGGGCTAGCCTAGACGCCGGGAGGCTGCGGGGAGGAGCACGGCGACCGCGGTCCGGGCGAGGGCCTGCTCCGAGCTGCGGCCGCGGGCTGCGCTTCTTCCGGATGACCTATAAACCCTGCGGCTCCCCAAGTGCGGCCCGTCCCCCCACCCCCGCCCGTTCCCACTCCTCCCGGGCGGGTGTGGCCTTTAGGGGGCGGGGCCGGGCGCTGGGTCTGCACCCAAGAACCGCCTTTGTCTTCACCTGGCTGCTCGGTCCCCGGTGTCAGGACGGGGAATTTTAAAGAATAGCTGAACGTTCGACGGAGAGATGCGGTAAAACACGCGCAGGTAACGAAACCGCTTTCTCCTGTTCCGCACTTCCTTTCTCCTCCTCCCTGTTAAAATAAAAAGCAACGCGGGGAGATTGTCATCCTGGAGTTCCAAATAGGCTGAAGGGGAATTCTGGGAATTGTCAGACAAGGGCAGTAGGAGATTTAAGTGCCAACCAACGTGATACACAGAGGAACAACTTTGACTATGACGTTATAAATAATCGCAGTGATCAAGAAACTAGGGGCTACTGGGGAAAGCACGTGTAATAATCCACGGCAAGCACACGCGCGTCCAGTACATGAAATCCAAGAGTTTGGAAACTTTTGGATGAACTGAGATTTTACTAAAGACTTCTACGAAAATGAAGACAGATAAATTAAAAAATACACGTTCTCAAGATGAATACGTTGCCGTGGAAAGAGCATGGGGCTTTGAGGTCATAAATAGCAATGTTCAAATCCAAGGTTTGCCGCTCTTGAACTCTCTGAGACCTTGGATAAATTATCCTCCCCAAGGATCAGAGTGTAACACTTTAACACTGATAAGATGTTCCGCTGTCCAGGGCCATTCTGAGGGTTACAGAAAAATACGCACAGCGGTACAGTGCGTCACAAGCTTTGACCCCCTTCCCTAAGGCCACCTTTCAAAAAAGGTCAATATTTCAAAAAAGGTGGATATTGTAGCTATGTTAAATGCGATAGAAGATATTTTAAGGAATATTCAGAACCAGAAAGGCTAGACCTGACCAGAGTTTCTCCAGGCAACCTTTGGGGGGTATTAAACCCGGAGGCAGGGAGACAGCAGTCGTGTGGCTCCCAAATTGCTTAAATTTTCCCATAAAAAAGACTTCTAGGCTGTAAAGGACACGACAAGCCCTGACAATCGGAAAGAGAAGGTTGTAAAAAAAAAAAAAAAAAAAAAGTTAATTTTCTTTTTTTATACGATCAAATCTTCAAAGTGCGATTAATTAATTGTAGGAAGGAAACGGATGGCCTGGGAGTGCACACATTCCCTCTCAGCAAATCTAGCTTCTACTGGGTGTTAGCACTTCCGGCTTTCTGCTTTGTGGGGTAGTTGTTCATCTTAGTAGACCCCATACTAGCAGCTCCAGGGCTTTGAGCACATCAAGTGTTGAGTAAATAGTCGTGAATAAGTTAATGTTGTCCTGTAACTTCCTTTAGTAACCATGACAGTTCATGAAGCCTGTAGGTGAAAATGAAAGATGGAAAAAACATGTTTTCCAGATCTTCAAAGATGGATCAGAGTTGATTGCAAAGGTTACAAATATCAATTCAGCAGTATTCCATATGGGATTTATAAACATGTGGGCCCTAATACATGTACAAAGTAATACAGAATTAGGAAGAGCTTTTGCTTATGTATTTCTTTTCTTCTAAAGCTCCCACCCCTCCATCCTTCACTTATGTTGAAATCCATCATATTTGGGAGCTCTTTTCAAATCCTTTCCCTTAAAGTGGTGCCTACTTACCCCAACAGATCATCCCTCCCACTGCTGAATGCCTGACACCTTTGTCCTTTCTTGTAAAACTTGTACCTCTTCAAATAGAATAATGTTCACAGGAATGCTTTCTAAACTGAAAAGTGTCATAAAAATTCAGATTTAGTGTTTCTTGAGCACCTACTCTTGAGCTTCATGGTACCGTGGGTTCCATCACACATACTTTACATAGCTTTTGTAGATGGAAGCTTCCAAGATAAGGATGCAGTCTTACTCGTCTTCATGTTCCCAGCACCTGGCGTAGGGCCTGGCACGATGCAGCCATTTTATAACGTCTTTTAAGAATTGTATCAGGGCAGCCTGGGGGGGCTCAGTTGGTTAAGCTTCCGACCCTTGGTTTCAGCTCAGATCATGATCTCAGGGTTTATGGGTTCGAGCCCCACATGGGGCTCCGTGCTGGCAGTGTGCAGCCTGCTTGGGATTCTCTCTCCTTCTCTCTCTGCCCCTCCCCTACATGCTCCCTCTCTCTCAAATAAATAAATTAAAAAATTGTGTTAGGAGCTTCCACAATTTTTATCTCATTTCATTATCACAGCAGCTCTGTCTTTAATCCATAAACATTTATTGATGTAAGCAGTATGTAAATCGCCATGCTGGTGCTAGAGAGACAGCAGTGAGCAAAACAGCCCCTGCCTGCTTACTTTGCACGTGAGGAAAGTGAGGTGTAGGATGGCTGTGCCTTCCTTAGACTCACACTGCTGGTGAGCTATAGATGCAGACTGTAAATCTGGGTCTTCCTGGTCCCAAGTCCAGGGTATAAACATAAGAAACGATATTTTTATTATTTTTATTATATTTTATTATATATTTACATATGTCATCCATGTAAACTTTTTATGTATTTTTTCAGTGCCAATAAGCTTTTTATATTATTAATGCGTATTTTATATGTCATGTTTTCCAACTCTACATTCAGTAATAAATGCTAAAGATTCTACACAGCCTGTGTAATTTAGGGATAAGGTCAGAAATTATCTAAATTTTGTTGGGGTTTTTTGTTTGTTTGTTTTTAGAAATTAAGTATTTTAAAAGGAGTACAAAATTAGACCTAAGTATGTTTCATCGCAAGAAATTACTCCACCCCGACCTGATTTATTTTTTAATTTTAAGTGTAATCTTTTTTAACTAGGCTTCACTCCCAGTGTAGAGCCCAAAATGGGGCTTGAACTCACAACCCTGAGGTCAAGACCTGAGCTGAGATCCAGAGTCAGACACTTAACCTACTAAGCCTCCCAGGTGCCCCCCCCCACCCAGGTGATTTATTAATATGGCTAATATTGGTGTGTTTCCTAAATTTTAAGGTATAATTGATATTTAAGGAAGTTGCCATCTGTCTCTTTTTTTTTGTTTGTTTATTTATTTATTTAAGTAATCTCTGCATTCAACATGGAGCTCAAACTCACAACCCTGAGATCAAGAGTCACACACTCTTCCGACTGAGCCAGCCAGGCACCCCTAAATTAATGGTTTTGTCTTAATTGATCTTCCTGCCTGTGGTCTTATCAGAATTGCTCTGAGACATCCTCCATACTGCCAGTAGGCTGATCCTATTAAAATACTGACATGATGGAAAAAATCCTTGAATGACATTTCATCATCATTTATTAATAGAATAAAACAAACCGTTCAGCTGGACGCACAGTAGCCCTCAAGCTCTGCCCTCCCCTGCCCATCAGTCCTGCATCGTGTCTTTCTCCTCTGCAGGGTATGTTGGCCGCCTGCTGCTGGCTCACTTCTAGCCGGCCTCCGGCACTCCTTTCAGTCCTTGGAGGAACCGCGCTTTGACCCAGGCAACTGTTGGGAACCGTGCACACTGTAAATCCTTCTGCCACAGCTTACACTTAACTTGTTATATGCAAATGAGAGCTTGCAGTTTCAGGTCCCAGTTCTTGTTAAGATTACTTTTTATGTTCTTTTAAACTTTTTAATATGCCCCCCAAATGTTAACAGCTCGTTGTCTTTTTTTGTCGTGTTAGTCACTCCTGATGAACAATTTGCTTGGGGTTGCAAAATGCGGGTGTTCTAATTTTACCATTCCTTCTTCATTGATCATCTAGACTACTTCTATAAAGGCAGACTTGGGGTGTCTGGGGGGCTCAGTCAGTTAAGCATCCGACTCTTGATTTCAGCTCAGGTCACGATCTCGCAGTCAGGGGATTGAGCCCTGTGTCGGACTCTGCACTGATAGTGCGGAACCTGCTTGGGATTCTCTCTCTCTCTCTCTCTCTCTCTCTTTCTCTCTCTCGCTCAAAATAAGTAAATATTTAAAAGAAAAAAAGTCAGACTTGTCCTCAACTTCTGTTCAGATCTCCCCAAAGAGAACCGGTATGGAAAAGGCAGGATAAATGCTTGATAGTTTATCTGCTATAGTTGCAGGTTTATTCACATTCTCTCTTTATTCAAAAGCTACTCTGAAAAGTTATAATTTTCTAACAAATAGTACGTTTCACCTAAATTTTCCAAATCTATTGGCATAAGTTTCTTCCCAATATTTACTTATCTTTTTAAAAAAAAAATCTCTTCTAGATCTATAACTAATATTGCATTTCATATTTCTCATATTATTTTCTGGATCTCCTTTCTTTTTTCTTTGAATAACCTTGGCAAAAGTTTGTTTTATTGGTCTTTTCAGATAACAGCTTTGGACAGTGATCTTCCGTGCTTTATCTTTGTTTTCTAATCTTACTCATTTACCTTTATAATTTCTTTCTTTCTTTCTGGGTTCTTGGGATTTATTACTTTGTTCTTTTTCTAACTTCTTGATGTAGATACTTAGTTCATTAGTTTTCAGTTGCTATGTTTTTAAAATAAGTATTTAATTTCTCGAAGTACTTAAATTTCCTCTAAGTAGTGTGTTTAGCTGTGTCATGAGTTTGAAATATAGTATTTTCTGTATTGTTCAGTTAATTTTTAATGTCTCTTTATTTTTGAGAGAGACAGAGAGCAAGCGGGGGGGGGGGGGGCGGAGAGAGAGAGGGAGACAGAATCCCAAGCAGGCTCTGTGCCATCAGCATAGAGCCCAGCGCGATGCAGGGCTTGAGCCCGCAAACTGTGAGATCATGACCTGAGCCAAAATCAAGAGTCAGACGCTTAACCAACTGGGTCATCCAGGTGCCCCTGTATTGTTCAGTTTAAATATTATCAGATTTCCACTCTGTTTATCCTCTGATGGTGAGCCATTTGGAAGTGTTTTAAATGTCTAAATATTCAAAGGTTAGAAGTTAGTAACATTGCAGAAGCAAAGGTCAGTGAACCTGTAAACACAGCAATAGAAAGTTTCCAGAGTGACATCCACAGTGAAAAAAGTCTAGAAAAATGTAAGAACATAGCATCGTTGGCCTATGAACAATATCACATGGTCTAACATACTGCTATTTGGAGTTTCAGAAGGAAGGAAAATGAGACTGAAATGAAGTCATTTTTAAACCAACAAAAAGTAATAGACCTGTTGCTCTCAGATTCACTGAAAGAACTTACAAAGACTGTGTCTGCAGTAG